CGCGTGACCACAATCCTGACCAGGGTGGAGTCATCTGTGCCGGCACCTTTCATAGAATAGTAGAGTCTCTCAGCAAAGAAGGCAGGGCGGTTCAGAGCACACTGCACTGCAAGTTAGAGATGAATCAGTTATGAAATCATTACTTGATAAACGTGTCCACATTCCAGCCTCATTTATCATTTCTAGCCTGCCTCTGATCATTTTCTGTGTAATCATCTCAGAAATATGAGGTGAGTTGAAAATGTTCTCCCCCTTGATTTTTCTGAGCCTCCTTATTTCTTTCTAGATGCACCAGACAGGCTCCTTTCAATTCCAGAAGATTCCATCTGGCCCCCCAAAAACATATCCTCTCCATAGATGCAGTGGCTTAGATTCTTCACATTTTTCCCCTTACAGTGAGAAGAAGAATTGTAGCAACTGTGCCCTAGTAATATCTTACTTAAAAGGAATAATGAATACAATCTGAATTCCAGAAGTAAAATATATTATTTGGCTGAGAGAAGGATATGAATTAACACTCCAATATAAAAAAGAAAACACATATTCGAGCAAAGATTTGAGAATGATAAGAAATCTGACATGTTTTCTTTTAGGAAAATTAACTTAGCAAAGTCTCTTCCTGCAGATGGTAGAGATATACTAACTGTATATTATTAATTTAGCTACAATTACTATAGCACTTTTAGTAAGACATTCAATTGCTAATACCAATGTGGTACTAACACTCTCTTCAATCCCGTATTCTCCATGAGAATGAAATTTTCATTTCGTTAGACATCTGAATATCAGAACACCAGAAACTGGGTTTTTAATTTCAAAAGGGAAATGGGTATCATTGGGCTGAATATTTGAAAAGTGTTTTTGGGGGCTCGAAATGACACTGTGTGTGGTGGCACTCAGAGTTGCTTAGTGCTTTCCCATTCACCTTAATGAAAATGCTACAATGTATCATATATTCTTGCATAGTCCTCATGAAGGGCATATACAATAAGAATCAAATAATTCCAAAACAACCCTTACTGATCATGTCACCAACCATTCATAAGGAATTGCATGTAAAACCACAGAATCAACTCAGCCTCTGAATTAGCAGATTCCAGGAAGGCCATATTAATTATCATTACTTAATGGGAACAACTATTCAAAGCTTTATTCATTTATAAACAAAATAAAGCAAAAACAGAGAAGTTTCTTACAGATGGCCTTCAAACCACTTTCAACATTTCCGGAGAACTCACGGCTGACGCTGCTTAACAAATCTCGATTAGCCATCTGCAAACAAAAAGCATAGGAGTTAAAATATTTTCACACTTTAAAACAGAAGCCAGATCTTCAAAGAAAAGCTCATACCCTGGAATAAGCCTCCATGGTAGCTTTCAGCTGAGGAAAGCTTCTTGTGGCAAGAATCATGTTAAAGCAAGATTCATCGGTCCCCAGTCTCCCCTCGCCAGCTTGATAGAGGCGCTGAGCATCCTCCTGAGCCATCTGGTGGTTAACATTCTGGTTCTCGTCACGATTTCCCTGCAAAAGAGGAAGGCAGGAATGTTTTAATAACATTCTATTAAAAATTTTCTTTCCCATCTAGTCACTTTTGGATTTAAGGGACAATTTATTAAAGATGAATGCATAAAGTTTGTCATGTATATCTTTCATTTCCAAAGAAACTACACTAGTGTAACTTGTGCTTTATTATACTGCCTACTTTGGGTTTTCTAATATATGATCCTAGTTTAATGAAGTTATGTTAAATTGGGAGGTTTTCAGAGCATTGAGAGCCAAATTAAACCAGAAAAAGTTTCGTTTCCATAAAAAATTATGTACACATATACATGATTTCTACACCCCCCCCCCCATAAAAACAAAACTATCTCTACTAGGAGATATATGCATAAACTACCACTCAAATGAAGAAATCATAGTTCTCCTTAGCTGGGATTTATATGCATTATAAATTTATATGCATTAAAGATCAATATGCATTATACTCAATTCCACTTTGTCTTCATTTATGCAACTAAAAGCTAAAAGGTATGGGGCACCTGCTTTGTGCCAGGCTGTGTTAGTCAGGGTTCTCCAGATGAACAGAACCAACAGGGTGTGCTAGGTGGTAGGGACACAGGAGAGACAAGTCTCTCCCCTCAGGGAAATTAAGTCAAGGGAAGGAGACATATAATATGGTAGCTTCATGAACTTCCTTTCCTTCATCCAAGTGTAATCTTAATCTGTATATAAGGATTAATTATGAATGCATAACTAAAAACGATGCAGGAGCATTTTTAGAAGAAGCTATAAATACTTCCATTTCTGCTGGACTAGACCAATTGTATACCAAACTCTCCTCTGGGACAGGAGAGAAGGAGAGGGAAAGAGGAAGCTCGGAGCCTGAACAAAAGTCAAGTTTAGAAGTGCAGTTGGTTTCTCTCAAAAATAGACACACAAACCCAAACAAGGGAAAGGCTGTCCTGTAGAATCCCAGTGTCTAAGGAACAAAATGGAGAGGTGTTCCTTGAAGGTGGGAAAGTGTCTTCTGAAGAGCCCTGGGCACAAGGAATATGTAGAAGCATATTCTAAATGGATGACTGAATATATGGGGCTGTCGGAAAAGTCATGACGCATTTTTGCAATGAAAAATATAGAAAAAATACGTCATGACTTTTCCAACAACCCAATAGCACAGGAAAAGGTAGTGCTCAGGAAAATCTTTCCCCATTATTGCTGTTAGATTCAAACACACGATACAGTCCCATCTTCCTAGGAAGCCATTGCTCTGCTCGCTCCCTGGAAGAGGACCCTTTACTTTATAAAATGGCTGGGCCTTAAACCCTACATAAAGAGACACTCAGCACTTCATGTAAAGTCTCAATAATCACGTTTTAGTGTTAAATTTCTGTTCCTGTTGGCTTACTTCTTTGTTCTTTTTAAATGCTAACCTACTCCTCCACTCTGTTACTCCATTGTAGGTAAATTCAACTTCCTCCCACCAATGTTTCCTTTTCTCATTTCCACATCAGCTCACTAGAATGTACTATCTTTTCTGCAACTACTCCCTTTTGCTCTGAAGAGCCTCTCCCTACTTTGAGATCCCTCATGACTGTCCAATTTGTGTACTAGCAAAATAGCCTATAACTCCTGATATTGAATCAGTGTGCTAGTCTTTTACATCTCTTTCAAATATACCCTCAACATCTCATTGTAAGTGTGTTTATAGTATCATTCTAAATACCCTCTTTGAAGAATTTTCTGTCACCTTTCCAGCACTTTTGGGGAATCAGAATAAGGAAGGTGCTAATCACAATATTTCTGTAAATCCTGAAACGTTTTTCTGCATTTCTAGCTCTCTTCACACAACTCTCACCTCCACGGCAGTCCTGCACACCTTCAGTTAATGGCCCAGCTTAACTGGCAATACAATGCTAAGCTTAAAAGTACACATTCATCCCCATCCTAAGACACAGCCTCAGTTTGATTTCTAATTCCATACCACTTTAAAGAGGTTAATTTCTGATTCTTTACAAAAGCCAGGTCTGCTGAAATAAGTCTCAACAGTGACTACAAAGAAATGTATACACAAGGGCCGGCAAAGTGGCGCATTGGTTAAGAGCTGGCTTGGGACGCCAGAGGGCCCCGGTTCGGATCCCGCATATGAGGGCCAGTCACACTGCCCTCTACAGCTAAGATGCTGAACAATAGCTCAACCTGGAGCTGGGCTGCCTTGAGTCACTGGTGACGGCGTAGGCTGCAGCCCCTTCTGTAGTGGGTTGCCATGGGCTATCGTGTATAGCCAGCAGCCAGTGTGAGCGGCTAGGAGCCACCGTGAGTGGCCGTCCAGAAGTCGGCGACTGATCTGCCTCACCCGGGAAGAGCGCAATGATGGTGCCAACTTGGGCCAGTGAAGCAATGTCCTCCACAACTANTCGGTAATCTCCACTCGTGTCACTTGCAATCATTGTGCCCAGGGTCTTCTGGTACATCTGAGTGAAGATCTGTTTTATTTGGACAAGATCAATCTGCATGCAAGACATAGTTTTGATGTTAGAAAAAAACTGTCAAAAGGAAACTGGTACTTATTAGAATTATTCTTTCATAGTGAAAAGATCCTAATTACAATCAAAGCAGAGGGGAAAAAACACCATGGGACTGACTTTTATAGCTAGCATGCACACTAGTGCTGGCATCACACAATGAAGGTCTGCTTCACTGTTTCGTAAAAATATTAGACAAGAGAGGTACTAGTTTCATCTACTATTCCAAAAATATTAGACACTTAAAAACCATTTGATAAGATGGCTATTATCAAAAACACAGAAAAGTGTTAGCAAGGACATGGAGAAGTTGGAACCCTAGTGTATTGCTGGTAGGAAAGCAAAATGATGCAGCCACTGTGGAAAATGGTATAGTGACTCCCCAAAACAATAAAATAAAATAGAATTACCATATGATACAGCAATTCCACTTCTGGGTATACACACAAAAGTGAAAGCAGGGACTCAAGTATTTGTACACCCATGCTCAAAGCAGCATTGTTCACAATAGCCAAAAGATGGAAGCAACTCAAGTGTCCAATGATGGATGAATGGTGATGTATACATACAATGGGATATTATTCATTCTTAAAAAGGAAGGATATTCTGACACAAGATACAACATGGATGCACCTTGAAGATGTTATGCTAAGTGAAAACCAGTCACAAAAGGACAAATACTGTATGATTCCACTATATGAGGCACACAGAGTAGTCAAATACAGAGGGACGGAAAGTAGAATGGTGGTTGCCAAGGGTTGAGGAGAAAGAATGGTGAATTATTGTTTAATGAGTATGGATTTTCAGCTTTGCAAGGTGAAAAAGTTCTGGTGGTGATGGTTGTACAATGTGAATGTACTGAATGCTGCTGAACTCTTAAAAATGGTTAAAATGGTAAGTTTTATGTTATGTATATTTCATTGCAATTAAAAAAAACAAAAAACAAAAAGATCCTGGGGGCTGGCTGAGTGGCTCAGTTGGTTAAGAGAGTGAGCTCTGAACAAAAGGGTCACCGTTTCGATTCCCACATGGGCCAATGAGCTGAGCCCAAGCTGTGCTGCCGCTGAGCTGCCAACAGGTGGCAGGATGGCTCAGCTGGTGAGAGCATGTGCTCCTAACAACAAAGTTGCCTGTTCAAGATGGTGGGCTATGCCTGCCCGCAACTAAGACTGAATTTGGCACCTTGAGCTGAGCTGCCACCCAGATGGCTCAGGGGATAGAGCATGTGCTCTTAACAACGAGGATGCTGGTTCAACTCCTGTATGGGATGGTGGCTACGTCCACCCACAACTAATTGAACATAGCACCCTGAGCTGAGTGGTGCGTCTGGACTTGGAGCTGAGCTTGCTGCGCCCTCCACAACTAAGATTGAAGGGCAACTTGGCTTCCCCAATTCCCCAACACTGTTCCCCTCCTCCAACTCCCCAATTAAAAAAAAAAAAAAAGTTAAAAAAAAAATACCATATTCTGGTTGTTTTTTTAAAAATAATTTACCTTCTTTAGTATAATTTAGTAGTATATGCTTTCTTTCAATTAAAAAAATCAAAGAAAGGAAACATCTGAGGCTATATTTAGGCAAAGAGATAAAGATGAATTTTTAAAAAAAACTGTTCTATGATTAACAAGGTATACTAAATTGCAAGAATTTTTATATCCAATAGGATTAATCTACATAGGTCTTTCATACAATTTTTTACATAAGCACAAAGAAAACCAAAAGATAAACATCCCCCAACTTGCCATAAACTAGTCTTCTCCACAGACCTTCTCAAACAGGAAAATCTTTGGCACTGGGGCTTCACTGAGGTGCAGTACAGTAATGTGTTTCACTGCAGCGAGCCACACTCAGGCATGAGGGAAGCGGGCACTGTGCCTTATACAAACCCTACCAGCAGTAACAAAGACAGTTCTCTCTTAACATCATTCTTGAGAGACTGAGAAACTTTTAAGAAATCAACATTCAGGGAGCATTTCAGATCTTGCTCCTTGGCATATGTTCTAAGTTTAGCTCAAATAAACTCTTATAAAAAGAAAAAGAAATCTACATTCAAAATCAAGTAAAATCAGACACAAAGAGAAAGCCTCACCTCACTTCGCGTGACCACAATCCTGACCAGGGTGGAGTCATCTGTGCCGGCACCTTTCATAGAATAGTAGAGTCTCTCAGCAAAGAAGGCAGGGC